CGTGGAGGGAGGAGGAGGAGGAGGGACGGGGGAGGGACGGGGGGATGAAGAGCAGGAGCAGGAGCAGGAGAAGGAGAAGCACGAGGAGGAGCACGAGGAGGAACCGGTCAAGCAGCAGGAGGAGGAAGAGCAGGAGGAGCAGGATGAAGAGGAGCAGGAGTAGGGCAGGGCAGCACCTGATGCGTTAATCCAGCGCCATGTGGACCGACCATGACGTCAGTCTGTTGAAGCAGAAAACGAGGAGGTCAGCAAACAGCCGCGAAGGAGGAGGAGCAAGATACTACAAGGGTGGAGAAAGTAATGTTGAGGTGAAGGAGAAGTCAGAGGAGGTGGGATGATGATGGTGATGAAGCAGAAGAACAAGGATGATGATGAATGAGGAGGAAGTCGAGGACAAGGAGGGGGAGGAGGAGGAGGCGCAGGAAGAAGACGAAGAAGACGAGCACGAGCTCGAGGAGGAGGAGGAAGACGAGGATGAGGACAAGGAGGACGAGGGCGAGGAGGATGAGGACGAGGAGGAGGAGAAAACCTGTATGTCACATTGTAGTTGCTGCTCCAGCGTGAGTGTGTTGTAGTCGGCATCGATGAAGTACATCTCCCTCCCATCCTGCCGCTTCCCGTCAGCTGCAAGGATGAGGAGGAGGAGGAGGAGGAGCAGGAGCAGGAGCAGGAGGAGCAGGAGCAGGAGGAGATACCGGAAACTTTGACTTCTGGAGATCACGGAGGGCTGCGAGGACCTGCGGAGATATTGTGAGCGGCGGAGGGAGGAGGGAGGTAGGGAGGAGGGAAGGGGAGGAATTGGGGCAGAGGATGGTGGTGGAGGTAGTGAAGGAGGGAAGGGGAGGATACCGAGTAGTGGGAGATGAGGAAAGGTGAGGAGGGGAGAGGAGAGCGGAGTAGTGGGGTAAGGAGCAGCGGGAGAGGGAAGGAGAGCGAGTGGAGGAAATGTGAGGAGGGTGGAGGAATGGTTTGACCTCGTTCTCGTTCTTGACGACGCGACCTAGTGTTCTAGTGGAGAGATGCTCCCAGTCCTTGCAGACGAAATATCTGAGATAGCACTTGAGACGAGAGGAGGAGGGAGGGGGGACGGGAGGAGGAGGAGGAGGAGGAGGAGGAGAGCGAGGAGGAGGAGCTTGGGACCTCTCATCGCAAAATGCTCTCTCTGGCCACCTGAAGTGGAGCGGATCACTCAAATGCCTTTTTCCTGCCTCCCCCCCCTTCGCCCTTCTCCTCCTCCGTTCCCCCTCCTTCCTCCTTCCCCTCCTCCTCGTCTCACATTACGGAGCTTCTCCTTGCTATCCAGCTCACAACGATGATCTTGGAATTTTCTTTCTGAACTGGCGGGGCAAATCTTTGCAGCTTGTGGCCGCGGATGATGAAGTCGGAGAAGGAGCGGACGAGAGGAGAGGAGAAGCAGCGAGTCTCTCGCTGAACATGCTTCAGTCAGGGTGAGGGAGGAGGGTGGAGCAGAGAGGAAGGTGAGAGGTGGTGGTAGGAGAGCAGAAGGAGGAGCAAGAGGAGGAGAGGAGGGGGGAAGTAGGAGCCGGGGAGGGGCAGACACTAGAGGAGGAGGAGGAGGTGGGGGTGGATGTAAAGGACGAGGGGGTGGTGGAGGTGGTTGTGAAGGACAAGGAGGAGGTGGGGGTGGGCATGAAAAGG